TCCATCTTTGATGGCAACGTTTACATTTTTGGATATGTCTGGGCCAAATATCCATAGAATATATGAAAGCCTTTTTCTTTTAGTTTGCAGGCAGATGTTTCGAAGGATTAGGCTTTTCTGGAGTTGATCCATCTGATCCTTTGGATTTTTAAGTCACGCAGTACAGATTCCAGTAACGCATCTTCTTCATCCGTTGGGATATGTACCTCGATAGAATTAGGACATGAGTCCCCCAACATCGAGGTATCATCCACTACAATGTGAGCGTTTAGATCCATAGATCCTTGCTCAGGTTCAGAATCGACCTGATTCGATTTCTTTGTTTTTTTGAACGTTTGAGATCCATCTAAAAAAACAATTAGTAATATACAAAATAAGTTCTGGACTATAAGGCGAATAAGATAATGCCGCTCCGAGTCTTAGCTTTGTATACATAAAATATTACGGCTTCATATCTGGTCTCATATTTGTGGTGTTTTTAAGCTCACAAACTGTACACATCCTCTAAGATCGTGATTCATTGACAGTAATGAATCGATGAAAAAACTAGTTCTTTTTATTTCGTTCTATACTTATTTCATAAGTTTTCATGAATAATGCTTAGGAGAGAATTAGATCTTTTTAAAGCAAAAACAAAAGACATTAATATTAACTTGGGTTAATGGTGGACTCTCAGTTTTCTAGAGAGTGATAAATTTCGAATAACAAACTTGTTTATGTAAAATTTCTTTACTCTACTTGTATCTATAAGTCAGTTATTAACGTTAAAATAATTTTCTGAAGGATATCTTATATGGGGACTAGGGTGAATGTGAACCGAAAGTTCATCCCGCTGAGGCTTGTGTTTTAAATAGCCAGATATGGCTAGATCATTTTAGGATGCTACCCTGTACCACGCTTGGCAGGATATATGTATGTAGGTCAGTGAAGATCTTTTATTAATCGAATAGCTGTATACATTAGGGTGGTTTAAAAATACGTTTTTTCCTCGGATCAAATTCTAATAATGATATGATGCTGTATATTAATCACAAATAGAAATAAATACTTTCAAAACCGCGTTCTAAATAATTTTATTTTTTATTTATTCATTAAAAAATATTATTCTTTTTATACTCTGCATTTGATTACAATTGCGTTGAACGTATGAGTATCGTTGAATAGATCGAGACAGGCAACAGAAACATGTGCATTATTCTTCATTTTGTTTAACTACGAGTACACTCACATACATACAAAATATACAAGTACATGCAGTAAGAGTTTTCTAATTTGTTACAAAAAAAAAAAAAAAAATACCAACAATATACACAAATATTTATTAGGGTAAGTTGACTGATATAAAAAATGTTCTGAAGATTTTGAAACAATTTCGAAATATTATTAAATATTTCAGATTAAACTAAGATTGATTGAGATCTCAAAAGACTTACTAATACGCCTGTAAAAAAATAAATTATTTTAAATACAACCTAAAAAAATTTCCTTTATCCCACCCTAATGTTTAAACTGCATTCTGACGATAAGCTTTATACATAGTAGCAGTGATGGTGTTGGTGTTGGCCATAACGATGATAATGATGGTGGTATAGAAAATAAAACCACATTTTAGCACTGTTGCGTGACCAGGTGTAGAATTTCTAATGCACATATGATGTAGTAGTATAGAAAAGAGTGCGTTTGGCAGAAAAAGTAACAAAAATAGCACTAAATAAAAGAAAAAAAAACAGAAATGAATACAATAAAATTATGTTGTATTAATCACCTTTTTGTTTTGTGAAATTGAAATGCAACATTCATGTCGAGTGCAAACAATTCATTTATCAATACTGTAAATAGAAACTAGTTATAAAATGCCTAAACAAATAGTAAGAAATTAAAGAAAAAACACTAAAACTAGCGTGTTTAATTTCTTAGATTGTTAGATATTTATTAATTGGCGAAAATTCCAAAAATATTCAATTGTCTATATGAGCATTCATGTTCTATGAAGAATTGACATTTGGCACAAATAAAAGTTTTAAATTACAATAAGTCGGTAATTATCACAATTATAGCATAGCTAATTTACTATAAGATTGACATAACTTTAAATTTATTTAATTTTTTAAGTTGGACATTTTGGTCATACAGGGTTTTTTTCAAAAACGTGCAACTTTTCATTTATTGATCCTAGCTAAAAATTGTCCAAAGCTATAGCTTTTCACTGTTTCCAGAATTTTTTTGTTTTAATTTTTTTCAATAATTTTTTTAATATATTTTTTTCCAATATTTGGCACTTAATTTTTCAAAATGAATGTTTTCTTGTTTTTTTTTTTGCTCAAATGAAAGCTTAGACCATTTCCTTTATAAATTATTTTAAAGTTTTTAAACAAATTTAAAAAAAAATTGGAAAGAATGAAGAAATAGCTATCTGACCTCCTTTGGACATTTTTTGCTAGGACCAAGAGGTGGAAAGTTACACTCATTTGAATAAAACCCTGTATGACCAAAATGTCTAACATTAACCCCTTTTGACTCCGGCAGTTCTTGACAGATAGAGCTGAAAATTTGTGGGATAACTATCTATCTGGCCTACTATCCCATAGTACTTACCTTGGTGCAAATTTCATTCAAATCGGAAGACATCGATTATAAAAGTTGGATCACTTGACACGATATTCCCCATATGTATAATGGAAGGTCATAGGTATATGAAAGTTTATCATACATTTTACTTATTCGACAAAAACTGTATTTGTTTGGATTTTTATTTACAAAAGTATTTTTAAGTAATGTATTATAACCACTAGAACATTAAAACAATGGATTTTAGCTAGTGAATAAATGATATAATTTTAACGAATTTCAAAAGTTACTTACGAACTTGATATAAAAACCTGTAAGAGGTTAAACCACTTACATACATACTACTTACATACATATGTTAAAATTATATTAATTTATTTGTTAAGTATTCGGTTTTAATTATAATAAATTTTTAATATGTATAATAATATATTAAAATCCCAGCAAAAACTTACATGGAAAAGTAATGAGCTAAAAAGCCACTTTTCACTACTTATTCATTAGCATTTTAACTCATTATTTTAAAACGGTGACGACATTGAAGGCAAGTACTTACCAAGCTCGCTTACAAATCACTACTTAAATAAGTACTTACAAATAAGGAGTTAAAAAGTTGGCTTATTAAAAAAAATCGCTGACACAGAATACGAACCTGGTCTTCTTGTTCCTTAGTTCACTGTCTTATTCATAACAAAACTGCTTAGTTATTTTATTGTGAGTTCAGTGAAACAGTTGCTAGCGCATAATTCAATAAAATGTGCAAATAAAAGGGCAAAACTCAAGATAAAGTACTTACGTAGATTACTTAGAAGTAATGCATACGGTATATGATAGTCATTGAAAAGAAGGTGGTTATGTAAGTACAGTACTTTTCGCTTATAGTCACAACCCTTAATTGCACACAAATTGAGGACTATATCGCTTAAGTTATTATAAACAAAATATTTTGTATATGCCACAATGTGCTTATAAAGAAAATCTTATATACATATTAATTTTTTGTTAATATAAAAAAATTAACAAGTAAGAGTGTTATATCATTGCCGAAAAGGAAACCGATAATGGGGGGTAGGACCGATCCTAATGAAATTCAAATGAAAAATGTCAGTCATTATAAAACTACTGTAATTTGTACGAACTTTTGAGGCATTATTGAGCGTTAAAGTAATTTTCTGAAGTGGATCTTATTAGACCGATCTCCAATAACTTTTGTGCATACATTATGTTTCGTAAATAAGTTGTTTATTTCAAATTTCATTGCCTAAGATGTATTTTTAAGTAACTAATGAGAGTTAAAGTGGTCCTTAAGTGGGGGGTAGGATTAGTTATCCATCCATCTTCATCAAAATCGGTAGAAAGATTTCAGTTCCCGTAAAACTTGTTTATGTCAAATTTAATCGCTGTACTCGCTATTGTGGCAGTAATGAGCTTTAAAATAATTTTCTGAAGGGAACCTTATATGGGTAGGGTCAATTATGGACCGATCATCATAAAATTTGATAGAGAGTTTTGATAATGTCGAATGTCACCGCTGTTCTCGCATTTTTGAGCCAGTAATGAGCGTTAAAGTAATTTTCTGAAGGGCATCATATATGGGGTTAGGGTCAGTTATGGACCATCGAATTTGGGAGAGAAATTTTGGTTCGCACAAGACTTATTAATGTCGGATTTCATATTTTTAAAACAGTAATGCCAGTTAAAGCTGTTTTTCGGAGGTGCACTTGTACGGGGGCTATCCGAAAATTTGGACCGGAATACCAAACAAACGATATCTATAGAGAATATTTGTGGAAAATTTCAACCCTCTAGCTGATTCCGCTCGGACTCTATCGTGATTTCAACAGACAGACGGACATGGCTAGATCGTCTTAGAATTTAATAAGGACCAAGAATAAATATACTTTTGGGTGTATGACCAATATTTCGATGTGTTACAAATGGAATGACAAAATCAATATACCCCCATCTTTTTGATGGTGGTTATAAATAAATATTGTTTTTAATCTCTAAACTTGTAAGCTAAGGCAATATTTTATAAAATTTTTAGTGTTGCAGTTTTACTTAATGTGTCATATTAGTCCCACACGCAGTCATTGTTTTAAATGTAATTTAAAAAATCGAGCATATGTGGGTGTAACTACTGTTATTTCTTTGCTCGTGTTGTATGCAAATCCAATTAATTTTAATAGCCCAGGGCGAATATTAATCGGGCCACGTTAGGTTGTCATTGGTTTCTGCGAAAAAATATTTTTAAACTTTTCTATAGTCATAATCTATTAGTATTTTAGTTTTACCTATAGTCCCATTCGCAGTCATCGAACGAGAAAACCTTAAAATAACTTGCAAAATAAATTGAGGAAAAATATCTGATTAATATTCGTATCCTTGAAAAAGTAAAAATTTACTCGTCATTGATTTCAGTAAAATATACACATTTAAATTTAAACGATTTTTTTAACGTTTTTCTTTATTATTGCCATACAAAAAAAAGGAAAAATATTAAACAACTTAAAATATTAATTATTCAGATTAAATGCAAAATTCTTACTATGGTTTTATTTATACTCTATTTTTTTTTTTATTATTTGTATCTTCTAAAAAAGAAAATATTATATTTGTCTATTTATAGTAGCAAACAGAAAGAAATACATTAAGGTTTTTTTTAACAAATTCTTGTATTTTTTAAAATTATTAGCAGTAGTTATTTTAAGGATAAACAAAAGCAAATAAAATGCATTTGCAATGAAATATTGTAGTAAAAAGAACACATAAATAAGTAGTAGGATACAAAGAAGAGAAGAAATTCAGTTTGTTGAAAAATGAAATTCAATCAAGTATTGAAGAGGTAGAGTATTCAGTATAGTTGTAATAGTTAAAGCATAAATAAATTTTAAATGAGGAAAGTACTTTAAAATGGAAATATATTTTGTACTTTATATTTTTCTGATAGATACAAAATGTAAAAAGAAAATAGTAGTAAAGTATTCTTAGAAAACATCTTTGGAAGCTAATGCAGTAAGCAATTGTACGGAGAAGAAGTTCAAATCAGTCGGTCAGCTGTTTTTTAAGATTGTATTGCAAATTAAATTATTTAAAAAATAGTTTTAGTAGAAACTTAAAATACTATTGAATGGTTGAAAAAAAACTAAAAGTTAAAATTTTTTTAAGTTTCTGCTTAGGTTTTTTTGCACTTTCGTAATGGTAAAAAATATGCATTTTAAAACTATTGAAAATTCATGGCTTGTTTTTTTTTATAAATCATTTGCTCATTTTGAGATTGATTCTATTTTTGTCTTGCAATAAATAAATAAATTACATGTTTTTTTTTTTTTTGTTTTTTCACACTTTTCTTTTCATTCTTCTAAATAAATTAAATAAATAAATACATTATAAAAAAAATTAATAAATAAATTAAATCAGGATGTATTGCACTCCCAGAGGCTTTTAGATTTTAACGAAAAAAATATATAAATAAATAAATTATTATTATTATTTTAACATTAAATCAACTTTGATTAGCAAACAAAACAAAGAGTATTTGTAATAAAATACTCTTTGTTACGAAGGTATTTGGGGAATTTTAATAGCTTTAAATTGGGTTTTGGTGTTAAAAGATAACCCACTTTATTGCTTGTAGGCGCTGTAGGCTAAATTTTGAGCATCACGTAACGCACGTCCATAACTGTGTTCATCGTAGTGGGCAGCATGAGGATGAGAGACAACTTCATAGTTTTCCTTCTTCTCCAACAATTTCTTCAAGCCAATGATGGTGGCCAAAAGCAAGGCAATCTTACCAATAACTAAAGCCTTGAAGGACAACAAAGCCAAGAAACCAATGGCCAAGGGTAATAAAGCAGCCATTTTCAATTTGAAGAGCAACAACAAAGGCATCAAGTACTTCTTCTTTTCCTTCTTCTTGCCACGAGCTGCAAATAAAAAAAATAAAGAAAATATTTATAAATGTTAAGATCTTAAGAATTACACAAGTAAATCATTTTATTTAAAAGGCGTGTACAAAGTGGTAGCTTGTAAAGTTCAATAGTCTCAAGTCAATTGTTGAAAGATTTCCAAGTTGTTGTTATAATTTCATAAATTTGCTTTTTATGCCTGTGTGAGTTCAATAGTACTCAATTCCAAGTAATTTAATTGTAAAACTATTGCCCTAAGTATAGTACTTCAAGTATAATCAGGGCTAATAAAAAAAAGCAAACTATTTGCCAATTATTATATGTTTTACCAAGAGAATTGCAATAGTGATGTTGTTTAAAATGGGAATTTCAAAAAACTTGCAATGAAATTCAAAGTTTTCAGGTCAATTATATAAAGATTTGTATGGGTTGAAAAAATACTTCATTTCAGGGAATTCAATTAAATAATACGTCGAAATGTAAAGAATATTAGTTGCATTATCAACTAATTTTACTCTTGTTGAAATGTTTTATTGATCTTAAATGATAATGTCGAAACAAATAATATCATTATAAAGTGAAAACATCACACATGTATTATAGTTGTGAAAATATATATATGTGAACGTTCCTTAAGGTTTAAAAGAGCATCAAAAGTAAATTTTGCCGATCACTGATCTATATAATTAAGATTGTGCAAACCAGAGCAAATAGAAGAACATCTTGAGAGAAATTAGACAAATTGAGAGCAATCAAAGTCTTTTACTATATTGCAAAAAAAAAAAACAACTCTGTTGTGTGAAGGTTTAGAGAGTTTGCAGAATATTGCAAAACTAATGCAACCTGCGAGGATCGTTACGATTAATCACATTGAAGTGGATTGATATAGTCTCTTTCTATTTCTATGACATTTAATTTTAACTATCTAATCAATAACAACATAAAATCTTTTTAAATATTTCAACAATTTCATAATCAATTCTAATTTCTCTTATACAAATTCCATAAAAAAAAATTAGCACACTTTCACAAATCATTAAAAGCGATCAAAAATATTTGCAATAAATTAAAGCAAAAACAAAAATGGTTCTTCCATATACGCAAAACAAGTCCTCTATTTCAATAAATCATGAACGTGATCATTATTTTTTATTATCGTCGTCGTCATCATAATTAAGAATGCCATACAAGTTTCAAATTGGCACACATAATGTGTGCGTATAGCAGGGTTGGCAAAATTGGTACAATTGTACTTTTTTTGGTACAATTCAATCATCAAAAGTACAATGGTACACCAATGACCCATTTTGGACTAGTATATTGTCTAGTCTATAGAGTAGTCTACTTTATAGACTACTCTATTGTGTAGTCTATAGACTCCCTATTAGTCTATGGACCAATCTGGTGACAAAATGGACTTGTTTATTTACTAGTCTAATGACTAATCTAGCCCATAGATACAGATGAGTACTTCATATTGATATATAATTTCCAAAAAAAATAAAAAATGATTTGGTACAAATGGAATCAAAAAAGTACAATTGTTAATGCTGTTTTGTACAATTTGAAAATTCTATTTGCCAATCCTGGCGTATAGTAGAGTTGCAACCAATATAATAAGTAATGGGTACTTAGTAATCGTTTAAGATATCAATGACAAATAAGTAAATAAATAAAGTAAATATGACTTAATAGCGGAAATTAATATGTCTAAATTATTGTAAAACGTTGTAAATATGCTAAGCTTCCAAATTTTTCCATTTTACGTATTTCGATGAATCTGGCTTATTTGCAAGACCTGTTAGCAATGGGCTTCCAAATATTATCATGTTTTACTACATCTAATCGATTTTTGTATATTTTTTTGTAGAAAATTTCTGACTGAAACATTTTTTTGAGAGTTGAGAAGTGCTTTGCAATTTCATTTTATTCGAAATTGTATAAAAACCTATTTTTTAAAACTATCAACTAACTATTTGAAATATTTTTATTTTGTATAGCAACAAATGAAATTGCTAATAAAAATTGTTGATTTAATAAATTATTGCCAATTTACGCTTTCATTAAATGTAAATTCAATATAGTATAACATTTGCCACAACATACAGACAGTCGGATAGATTATTCATACATTTAGCCAACCCATCATTCATCCAATTTAGTTAACTAAAGTTATGCCAAACCAAACAAAACCTTCATTTATCCAGTTAAACATAAATTGATGACTTATAAATATTGGCATTATTAATATTTATGGTTGCAAAATAGTTTCTAAAAATTGCTATATTTGTTTTATTAAGTATGAAAAATTCAGTTTAATTTTAAACGCAATACATATTTAGTTGAGAAAGTTTTTAAAATTATAAAGTAAACAATTTAATAATATAAATAATGTGCTGTTAGCGAAAACAAATTACCCTAATTTGTATTTTATTTACATAAAAAGTTAACAAGAATTTTAAAAATTTGAGTTTGAATTAAAGAATTAAAGGTTGGAAGAAAATATTTAATAGTTTTGATGAGTTATGAACTACTGAAGCAAAATGTAAAGTAGACCTGATTTAAGCTGGTAAAATGTACTTGATTTTGTATGAGAAAGAAGAAAACCTAAATATCATTCTTTTCTCTTGTATCTAAATAAAATAAAATTAAAACTTGCGCAAGTAAAATTGCCGAGTTAAAAAAAAATATAATCTAGTTATGATTACTTGTTATATTACCTGGGATGTGTTGGGTAATCAGTTAATTTTTTTTACTATATTTAACAAACAAATGCCAAAAGACTTTAAAGGAAATTACTGGCGCACATTGCTTGCAATTTGATGTACAACTTTGAAGAGTAAAAATCCTAAATGTAAACAAAATTTTAACTATTTTAAAGTTCTTAAGTGCTGCTTAAAGTTTATACATGTATATATTCTTATATTCAAAAATTATGTTTGAATTTTAGAAAATTATTGCTAAAGTTTTACTTTAAAATTATTGTAATAAATTTGATTAAAACTTAATTTCCAGAACTTTTTACCTTCTAAACACAATTAAACTTTGATGTTTTTAAGTCATAAACTAAATAACATAACATTCGATTACATAAAGGTGCCTTCACATTTATCAAATATTTGATGAAAATCTCGTGACCCCTAAAGTCACATTCGAAATTATATTCCATTATTGGTTTAGACATTATTTGTAATTACAAAAATGATGTTAAATGAAAAAAAAAAAAAAAAAAAAAAAACATTTACAAAAAATAGTGGTTACGTTTTTTGTCAAATATTTGATAGTTGTGAACGTACCTTTAGATTCACATGTTACTTTAAACTAGATAAAGGGTATGCCGGTTTGGATGTCGGAGATGTCAGGGGTCGTCAGAAAATTGATTTCAACAATCATACAGATAGACAGACGGAAATAGCTTAATCGACTGCTATCTATAAGGATCCTAATTTATAGAGTGGGTACAACGCCTACTTCCTTAAAAGTCGAATATCTCGGAATATGGTATAACTTGAGTCCTCAAAATTTGTATGGCCAATTTTGACATGGATATGATTATTTGGAGGAACAATTGAAGGACTAGGAATAGCGGGCGTGGCTCCCCCCATATGAATTAAATACAAAAATTTGTATATCTAGGAAACGCTTAAAGCTAGAGTCCTCAAATTTTGCACAAATAAAATGTCGAATATATCGGAATATGGTATTAACTAGAGTCCTCAAAATTTGTATGGACAATTTTGATATCCATATGATTATTTGGAGGAAAAAATGGGAGGACTATAATTAGGGGGCGTGGCACCTCCCATATGCAATAAATACAAAAATTTGTATATCTGGGATAGAATTCTAAAAATTTGTACGGGCAACATTGAAATCCATGTAAACAATTTGAAGGATAAATGGGAGGACTAGAAATAGGAGGCGTGACATCACCTAAAATTTATATGGGAAATTTTGACATCCATATAAACCTTTAAGAAAATGAATGTACGAACCATAAATAATGGTCGTGATACTTTTTATACAAAGTTAAATATGTGTATAGAGAGATTTTTATTTATATTGCTTCTATGGTAGCAAAGCACACTGGGTATAGCTACTATTGTATACGATTCAATTAAATTTCAATGAAATTTGTATAAAGCACAAAGAGATTTATTTTGAAAAGAATATTAAATATAAAAATTTAATATTAAATAAAATCAACAATGTTTATAAATAGTATAATTTTCAATAAAGAAAATATAAGTTTATTAACCATTTCTGATTAAAAAATTACCATATTTAATACTAGGCAAAGCATTCAATTAATAAAACATAGCCTTTAGTGTAGAATTATTGCTAAAAATTTTCATTTCAAACATTTTCTATGTAGAATTGAAAAAATTAAAAGAATTGCAAATAATTTTATATTTATAATGTCAAAAGTGTAAAATTTAAAAATATATAGTTAAATTTATATAGAAGTTTATTTATAAGAAATGGAAATTTTCATCATCATGTACAAAATGTAAAGAATTGCTAAAATTTTTTATTGCAATACTTTTCTAGGTAGAACTGTACAAAATTATAAGATTTTAATAAAATTTGTGCAAAAAAAGAAAATATTATAAACTCAGAAAATATTACATGTCAAAAATGTAAATTTGACATAGTTTACACGAGATAGACCTTTCTATGAATGTTATTTAAAAAAATTTTTTTTAAGTAAATTTTTATTTATAAAAATATTAATTTTCAGAGTTTTTTTTTTCATATTTTCTATATGATGTAAAAAATTAGAAGTATCGTAAAAATCTGTTTTTTTTAATAATTTTCTTTGTAGAAAAGTTATTGCTAATTAAGTTATTAAATTTTTTCTTTATTTTACATTATTTACAAAATGTAAAAAATTCCAAAGAATGTTCTAAATGTAAAAAACGTAAAATTTTAAATCGTGTAAAAAAATTTTAATGTAAAAACTTGTAAAAATTAAGATTTGTCTTTAAATATTTTATTTTATTAATAAATTGGATAAACAAATTTTTAATAAGTTAAGTAGTGCTCTAAGCAATCTGATACTAATTCATAAATGGTTTGCTTATTTTTTACACAATTTAAATAATGTAAAAAATTTACAAAAAAAAAAAAAATGCAGGAAAAATTTTGACATAAATAAATTTTAGTAAAAAGTGTAAAATATGTAATTTTTTTAATTTTAATTTAAGGAATTGCCAACTTTTACTAATTTTTTACATCGAGTCAATGAGATATAATATACTTAAAGTAGTAGTTTAATTACACAATTTTTTTACAATTTTATGTAAGAATTTTTTATGCTTTTTTTGCCAAAGGACCTTTTTAAATTCTGTCGAAATTTAAGAAAATATAAGTAAATTTGTATATTTTTTTAAGTATCATAACTTTGATGTAAAGTCAAGCATAATGTAATATAAATTTGCATTTATATTACATTATGTCATAGATAAGTACATAAATTGGGGAAAAAATTAAAGACACATTTCAAAAGCATGTGCTGGAAGAAACACATATTTTGTTCGTACATAATTTATATACATGTATTTTTTACCATGACTACAGAAATCACTTTAATGATATTGATATCAGACATTAATGGCGTCATATGTTTTGCTAAACATTATATTTACTTGGCCAATCATACTTTTACTTTAAATGGTGTCATTTTAATTTCTTTGCTAGTGTTTAGACATTTTCTAATTTCTTTCTATAAATGTTTGTAAACCGTACTTTTAATTGGAAATAACTCTAATTAATAAATTTAGAAGAAAAAAACCAGAACTGATGAAAGCGTTTCAATTATGTCTGTCTCCAACAGAGAAATGTTTATTTAATGTTTCTGTCAGTTTATTAAAAAAAAATATATATATATATATATGTAACTTGTTCGTATGAAAGCAAAGAAAATATCATATTATCCGTTACACTGACCTCAAAAATCTATACAACAAACAAGAGGCTGACTGAGCTGTTGCTGCAACAACATCATAAGACAAAAATCAGGCTTTAATCGTAACATATTTCAAAAGCTGTTTAAAAGACCCACAAATATACATAAAAACAGGATTTTTTGTTGTCTGTATGAAATGCCTTATGCTTAACCTACATTTGACAGCATTGGCATGGTTAAAACTACCACCAAAATAAATAAACAAATTTCTGTAAATCTCTTGAAGAAAAACTCTGTCACTCTCTCTCTCTGTCACTGTTGCATCCTGCCATAGATTGTATAGGTATATTTTTGTTTAAATTGCCTTCTTAGAGATTCATTGCTCAGGGGTATTTTAAATTTACATTATTCAAGTAAATTATTATTTAGTACTTACATTCTTCTAAGGCACGTTGCATATCCTGAACGGAATCCTTGGGTACTTTAAATTGTAAAGTATGGGTGCCAAAGAAACGTGCAATACGTTCAACCAACAATGAATCGACCTCAGTTTCACGTGCTTCATTTTCTTCGGGCAAAACAATGTCATTGAGAGAACGTCCAACGGGTATATCATCAGTTTTCACCAGGGAAATACCGTCAGTTAATTTAACATCACCGTTTTCGCTATCGAAATAATGTAGAGCACGTTCCTAGTAAAAAAAATAACAAAAAAACACATTAAAAAATTTATTAAAGCTGATTTAAATAATATTATTTTAATAATTAACTAAAGCAGAATAAATAAAGTTACTTAGAAAAAGACACTTGGGTATAAGACAAATTTGATTAATTCTTCAATTATTTTGTTTAGGAAAATTTAAAATTAATAACAGATTGAGGAATTTTTTTTTATAAATTTACATTACATCAAATACGTAATAAATATTAAAAACATAATTTTACTTGCTTTTCTATATGACATAATGTAAAATCTTGATTTTTTAGTGCATATTTAAATTTTTTACACATTTTACACAATGTCAACTATGTAAACAAAGTATAAAATTATATAAATTATTATTTTTTTAATGTTATTTATTTATAATATGATTTTATTTACATTGTTTACACCATGTCAAGTATGTTACACAATTTAATATAATTTTGGAACTATTAATTAGTTACTATAAGATATTATTTACAATTTTTACATAATGTCAACAATGTACTTAACAATATCATTAAATTAAGCCCATAAGCTCATATTAATGAGTTATTAATATTATATGTTTTACACCAGGTAAAATATGTAAAAAATATAGAAACCATTTAAAATTTTATTTATTTCTGTATTTGTTGCATAAAATTGTTCACTGTTACAAATTTTACATTAGGTCAAATATGTAAATAATGTAAAAATTTTATAATTGATATATTATTTCTGGTTTACAATTATTTACATTTTTACATGATGTCAAATATGTAAAGAAAGTTTAAAAATACGTAAAGAATTATAAAAAATAAAGAAATAAAAATAGTGAAGAAATTAGAAAAATATGTAAAGAATTGAAAAATATATTTCTTTCTATACAAAATGTCAAATATGTAAAAAAAAAGATCTAGAAATTATAAAAAATCAAATATGTCATTATTACAAACATTTTAGTATTGAAGTATTATTTATTTTGTATGTTTACATTTTTTTTACATCATGTCAAATATGTAAAGAATTAAAACATCTGTGTCTTCATATTGAAAGCATAATTATAAAGAAAAAATATTTACTAAGCATTTTTGGTTTTAATTATTGAAAATTTTTAATTATTTACATATTTTACACTGTGTCAATTACGTAATAAATTATGTCGAAACATTTATTTGTATTATTGGATATATGTATGTATGTTCTTTATTTTACGTATTTTTATTAAATTATTAAACTTCAAGTTATTTTGGAAATTACATTTTCTTATACTTTACATGATGTAAACTCATATAAAAAATACATAAAATTTTTAATTTTACATAATGTCAATAATGTAAAAAATTAAATTTTTTTTATTTTGCAAAATTAATTGAATATCCATTTCACATCAATGAAGGCAGAATAGGAATTGATCAACGATTAAGAGACGATTTTATAGTTCACAAACAAACTTTATAAATTTTGAAAAAAATTTTTTTTTAAATTTTCAAGACTTATATTTCTATCTTAGGGAGGAACTGTAAAAACCAGTTGCTTAAGTAAAGAGAAGTAATAACTTAATAAGTTGTGGTAAAGAACATTTCTATTAAACTTCCAAAGAAGATCATTGAAAAAAAGCCTAAAATATAATCAAATTTATATAATTTTGATAATAAAGCCGCTTGCTGACTTTCTTAATTAGTTAATTATAATTTCAATTTTATTTATTTTAATTTAAATGGTTTCACAACTTAAAATTTCTGAGAACTTGAATTCAGGCGAATTTAAATCCTTTAAATACTTTAAAACTATTTTGCATTCATTGTATATACATATATTTTTCAATTAAGATTTCTAAAAAAATAATATTTTAAACATTTTATTACACTAAACTAAATCTACTTATTATGCAGCTTTAATTTTTTTTGTTTATTTGCATTACACATTCTTTTAACTTAGAATTTTGTTTGCAACTTTCGTAAAAGTTGTCTACAAAGTTTTTGTAAATAAATTATCACTTTCTAAAACACCATAAAAATGAAAACATAACGAATAAATCCTGGTGATGAGTATGCTTGATATTAACAAGCATTTGTTTCAGTTGCACAATTGTCCTTATTATTTTGCTGTTTTGCTTTAATATTTATTTATTTTTTTTTTAGTTAAATTTTATTTATTTTTCTGTGGCATTTGTTGTTGTATGTCTCTCAGTAACACTCTTACCTTTAAACATAAAACCACAGAACGATCTCCACAATCTTTGACCATTCTTAAGGCACTTGTCAAGAGACTATCAGCCTCGGTGGCTTGATGACTGACAGCAGCAGCAGATGTTGCCACTAGGGCAAATAAACACACAAACTTAAACATGATTTGTTTTATTTAATTTTTTATTTTTTGTAAATTTAATTTATTAATCCACAAAATATCCTTTTGTTTCTTTGGCACAAGGTTCTTTTGTTTGTTTGTTTTTTTTTTTAATTTTTTCTTTTATTTTTAATTCCACTTGAATAGTCAGACCACTTCAAAACGATCGATTGATCGGTCAGAAGGCAACCGGTAAACTGTGACTAGAAGACGCTCGTTGATCGAGTTTTATTCCCGACTTACAACTAAAATCATCATACGCACTACAAAAACAAAACGAAACAGAAAAGCATACAGCTTATAGCAAAAGCGCATGCGCAACACAAGAGACAAAACCAAAGTCACAGTCACAGCCACAAAGTCAATTCAAGAGTCAAGTTGAGCAACATTAAAAAAAGAAACACACAAAATAATATGTTGTTGTTGCTGCTGCTACTTTTTGTTGTCATTCGTATATGCAGACACAACAATAACAAATTGTACTATGTAAAAATGAGCTTTAAGTTTAAATAGTTAGACGAGTACTCATAGCAATTGCTTTCGTTGATGTTGTTGTTACTGAGAAAGCTAAAGCAAGTTAACAGCAACTAGCAATATTGTTTGTTTGCCGCAGTAATAATACCAAAAACAATCAAACACTTGCTATTTGCTGCTGTTACTTTTGCTTATTCTGTTTCTGTTAACTCTTTTACTTCTCCTTCTGCTAGAAATCGTCAAGCAGCTACTGCTACCGCCACTTTTGTTTTTTTTTATACCCTACACTTATCTATGAAAGGAAGAGTATTACGCTTTTGTTATGATGTTTTTAACGCAACAAATAATGGACTCATCTTAAACTATACCAATCGACTAATACTATGTTCAACCATTCATGTATCTACCCAGCAAAAAACTGATTATAACTTGTACTTACTCAACAACCTACTTTTAAATGATAACTACTTACCGTCTGCATTACTTAGAAATACTTTAGTAATGACTTAATTTTAGGCTAGCTAATATGACAAAAGCCTAAATACAAAATATTGTATTTGTATTTGAAAACCATTACCATTAAAGTAAATAATTCTCAATCAGTGGAAAGTGGTTTTATTGCATACATCGACAGAGAATTAAAAAATAAGTTCTTAGACTGGTGTTGCAAGGACGCTATGGCCTCGCTTAGATCTTCATAGAACATCCTTTCTAATAGGTCTCAGTAGAACGCTGGTCATTGCAATCATGGAAATCTTTCAAGACGCATGAGTCTTCTATATAATGACTTTTGTAGAAGCTGCCAGAACGAGAAGGAGGTGGAAACAATTACTCATCTTCTGTGTAACTGCGCGGCCCTAGAAACGATTTGCAATCAAACTTTGGGATTGTCATACTTCTCTGATCTATCTGATCTGTCAGATATTCAACTGGAACGAATTCTTGCATTCCTTAATTCGTCAACATGGGTGTGAACTTTGTTTATATGACTTTTGGCATTCTAACAATTAGAATGTTCATTTCATCTCAGTCTACTTCTGTCTTCTTTACTACCTTCGTATAGACTATCTCCATAATCCTTCTTCTCTTTTACTATCTTTCTTAATACAAAGCGACCCATAAGACCCAATTAAAGCTCACTCCTGGCAGTTAGCAGTTTGTGAAACCTAACCTAACCTAGATATACCCAGCATATTCCAAAGAAGCGAAAAAGAAGTAGAATTTACTCCATGGAAGTACTGAAAAAGACTTGAAGAAGTAATAGGAGGGATTCCTTTTTATTTGATTCCAAATTCACTACTTCTGAAGTCATTCTTAAGAAGTAATATTTATGCTCTTTTTTTTGGAAGTTATTCGGAAGTGAAATTGTATTATTACGGAATACAACTAATTTGACTTAAATAATATTAACATTAATAAGGGTAATAGATACATTTAAAACAGAAGCACAAAAATAAAATTGTTTATCTCACAAAAATGTGGGAACAAAAAATATATCTCCAACATTGAAAAAATATAATAATTTTAGCTTCTTCGGAAGTCTTTAAACATCACTTCCTCAGAAGGTAAAAAAAATTCACTTAGTGCTACTTTAGAAGTGGTGATACATGTTATTTTTTTGGAAGTACTTCCCTTTATTTTTGCTGGACTATATGTTAGACAGAGAAATGCAATGAGCTCTCAAATGAGTGTCTTGTACTCTTTCTTTCACTCGTACGTATGCTCACACATGTATAAAAAAACAAACAAAACCAGTCAGTACTCTCTGTCTTTCACTGATGTTAGGAATGATGTATTTTCGGTTTTGTAGTTCGACTACAAATCCATGACGCGTATGAATCATAGCGGTCTGCGTCAGACTCAAGAGGAGTAGCTGAGTCTCTTGCTTGCTTATAGGGGTTATTGACGGTTTCAACTCTGACCTAATTCCAACAAGGGTGAAGCAAAGAGGATAGTGGAACTGGTGAGCAACAACATATTATTAGAACTAAGCCAATTTACAGCTGTTTAATCCCTAATGATTCAATTTCTAGTGAAGGATGACTTATAAAGAAAATTATTTAGATCTATTCTCCGTTTAGTCGGGATAGAGGAAATTGAGGAAGTTTTGTGATCAATGTACTAGTCCTCCTATCAAAATTATTTATGGTCGTCTACTGTTTGAAGGGCATAGGTTTATTTATCTACAAATTTCGAAACGGAATTTATCTACACATAAAACTTGTGTAGAATAGTTCCCAGTAAAAACTGTCATTACCATGTAAGGAGTTAAAGTGCTAAAATTTACTTACACAATAGCATTTTAAGTCATTATTTTAACACGGTGATGTCATTGGAGGCAACGATTAAAAGTAATTAGAGAAAATAGTCATTGTAAATCATTTGAAAAAAAGTACACAGCTTCTATATCTTTACAAGCAAAATGACTAATGAATTAGGAAGTATTTATATAACACATTATTAGTAGGACCTTATTATACTACTTCTATGTAATCCAGACAATATGTGTAGTAGTAATTGAAAAGTATGTTGTTAGGTAAGTAATTACAATTGAAAGCCATTACCTAGTTTGCTGAATTTTAAGAATATAGATTGAAATAGTATATATGTAGATAGATATATTTATATGGACCGTTTCAAACAAAATATTTATTTTCCGCTAGTATGAGTATATTTTTAATATTTAGGCTTAATTTCGTGCAGATATTTGTTGATCAGTTTCTACCAGATTTAAAAGATTTGTTTTATAAAGTAAATTTAGGGTCTCAATTTATAAAACAAAGGGACAAACGTTCAAAAAATGTGTATGGAAATAATTTAAATTTTCAAAAATTTTCCAGTATTCTTCATAAAAATTTTTTATAAAACTCAAATTTCGTTTTATAAAATTTTATAATATTATAAAATTATAATAAATTTTTCTGCATAAGTCCCATATTAGATCATCCACTTCTACAATTTCTATTGTAGGGTATCATGCGGTCTAGCACGTTTGACTTTAGTTTCGTTTTTCTTTAGGTTTGTTGTTTTTGTTGCTGCTGCAACACAATTCATTGGCTCTACTCAATATACAACAGCTAAAGTAGCAATAATATCTACACACTCATCATTTAAATTTTTACTAGTACGATTTAAATTGTTGTAGTAACTAATGTGAGTAGTATTTCAATTGATTATTGTTATTGTTTGCTTTAGAGTAAAAATATTTACTTAAATTTTGTTTAGTGTTTATTTGTTTACCACATTTTTGTTACAAAGCATAAGCTTAGAATTTAAATAAGTTGCACTTTTCTTTCATTCAAAAGTTTTGTCCAAATATATTTGATTGTATACGGGTAAAGTTGATTTCTGATAAACTTGTACAATTTGAATAGACATATAGGGGTAATTTCGAGTCAAGTGACCCAACTCAAAAAATCGATTTGGATGAAATTTGCACCAAGATTAGTACTATTAGATAGTAGGCCAGACACAAATTTCTTTCGGTCCAGAACTGACGAAGTTAGAGGGTGTTAAGGTTGGACATTTTGGTCTTACAGTACTTTTTTTTCTAATGAGTATAACTTTTACCTATTGGTCCTAGTAAAAACTGTCCAAAAGAGTTTAGATAGCAATGCAAAAAAAAATCTAAGGGTATTTATATGTATGACAAAAACATCGTCGTATGACAACATATTTTCATAATTTTTTCAATTTATTTTTACCCATTTAAAACGAAACTATTTATTTCCTTAACCAATACCAATACATTAAAAACCAATTCAAATTTGTTTGAATAGTGTTTGTTTGCTCGTTATATTAAGTATTTATTATTGCTTTTACTATTCAAAACCAAAGCTGATAGCAATATTTTATTGCTCATTTTAACTCTTCTACAACTTTCATTGTGTATATTAAAATGTTATAAAAATAATTATTGATTTTGGATTAAATTTTTATTTTGCACAAATTGATAACGGGATTTTTTTGAGTATATAAGCATACAGTACCGTAGGGCGTATAATAAATATTAATTATTTAAAATTAGGTAATACAAGTAGGGTGGGGCCGATAATCTAGGAATTTTTATAGAAATTTAAGTTAAAATTTTACTATTTTCCTTATTTTCACAGTATTTGTGGGAAAAAGAAAATTATATCAATCAATTTTTAAAGAAAATCTAATTTTAACATGTTAATAATGCACTTCACACATAAGGAAGAAAAAAAGTGATTTATATGTTAAATGAGAGTATTTAATTGAAATTTCATTTTTATTACTTGTCTGAAAAACCAGCATGTCGTTTATCAATCAATAGTTGGAAGGAAAAACCTATTTGCTAGTGTGTATATTAAGGTACAAAATCATGACGCTATGGGGAGTAGTCAGTCATAGAGTAAATTCATTAAGTAAATTTAATGTTGTGTGTTGGAAATGAAGTGTAACGCAGGTATGCTATAGCAAAATTTAAGATATGGGTATAATAGTAGAATTTTTTATGCATTACGATAATTAAAAATTGATCAGCATCAATTCTGATTCTAGTTATTCATGCCATTTCAGCCATTACACTGACGGTCACAATTACAAAAAAAATCAATAAAATACTTACTAAAATTTTCTTAGCATTTTAAGTCATTATTTTAACACTATAGTAACATTGGAGGCTAGTACTTACCACACTAGTTTACAAGTAGGGAGTTAGGTTACTACGATCACCTACAAATAAGGAGTTAAGTAAGTAGTTT